TACAGGGCATTTATCTCACACTGTTGAGAGATACTTATTTTTTGGCCTATAGCAGCTAACAATCACATCACATACTCCTGTTGACTGATTTTGGTAATTTCTGAAAGGGGAATGAAGCAATAGCAGCTGGCTATAGCTCAACTCCATCCTCCTTACTTCCTTCCCCCTCAGCAATTCCCGGAGGTCCTGGTGCCCTGGGCATCCCACCCCATGTCCCAACATTAGGAAGATGATTTGGAGCCTCAAGTTTTGCAGGAGCACTGTACCCTCCTAATACACTTTTCTCTTTAAATAAAGTGAATTTGGTAATTTCTGACAAAATGTGCTCACAAAAAGCTTACAGCAGGTCTTAAAAAGATTAGAGAAAAAGAAGAAAATTACACCTAATTTTACCACCTACAGATAATTTCTCACACATTTTTATTGTGCTTCTCTATAAATTTTTTTCAACATTTGTGAAGATAAAGCATCAGGGTCTGGGAATTCTGCCTTTTAGACTAAATCATAATCATTTGCCAGAGCTTTAAAATGTTTTGTAATCACAACTTTTAGGGACACATTTGGCTATACTGTGATATATTTAACCTTTCTCCTGGTATTGGATACTTAGTTTGAAGTTTTTAGCTATCATAAAAACATGACTGGCATCTTACGTAGAGTCCCTTTAGGAATAATAACAATTAGGGTAGATTGTCTCTTTTTCTTGTAGCTTCTCTCCATAGATTACAGTGAGCCTTGAAATCATAAATCCAGGAAGCAGTGAAATAAGCTCCTCTAGGTTTACACAAATGGATTCATGTCAATAACGACACAGTTGGGTGCTGTGAGTTAAGCACGACATGGGACAGCAACATCCTGATCGAGCACTTGGGTCCTGTCTCACTTCACCTCCCAAACTAGTTTCTGCTACTTGTGTACCCTCGGATGCAGAGATGATGACATAAATGCTTGAGTACCTGCAAGCCACAATGGGAGACCTGGATTGAGTTCCTGACTCTTGGCTTCAGCGTGGCCCAGCCCCAGATGCTGTGGGCATTTGGAAGTGAACAGACCAAAGGAATACATATATTTAAACATGCTTGAATGCGTTTGCTGGATGGCCTTATATCTCACAAAGAAAGCAATTTTCCATCATAAACATTGTAAATCACAAGTTAAAATGCTTACATCATCCAAACTTCAAGTCACATAGGGAGGGTTAACTTAATCTTTTCATTAGTTACATTTGCTAAAATATGAATAAAAAGCCTGCCCAGTGTTACTAGGGCCACACCCAAAGAGGCCAGACTGATAAAAGCTGATAGTTCTCAGACAAGGAGTTATGAAATACCTTAGATCATCCCCATCTCTCCCTATTTTCATTGTATCTGTTTCCACACATTGAGTTTTCAACCTTCTTTCTGCACTGACTTGAGTGATAGTTGTTACATGGGTGTATCCAGAAAGTTCATCAAGTGGTACATTAAAGATTTGTGCATTGTACTAATGTAAAGGAATTATAAAAATCAGAGGAAGTCTATAATGTAACAAACAACATTAATGATTATACCCATACTTATTCACCATGTAGTTATAATGACATACGTTGTAGCTATTATGATTTACAACACTTGGCCCCCTACTAGTCTGTAAGAAACCTGAGCAGAGGTTCATGTCTTTCTCTTTACTCAGGATTCCACTCCTTAAATATGGTGTGCTCCACCTACAGCCTGAAGGGCACAGGGCAGGGAAAGGCCATAGCATTAGAGGCTCATTCTTGGAGAAAGTACTCTTAGGTAAAGCAAAGTCAGAATATGACAAAGTATGTATTTAACCTCGAAGGACATTAACCATTTGTCTTGCAAAATGAGCCCATCTAAGTGCCAGGGTCCTTCCATTGCTTCAAACCTTCAATATTTGATAACATTAAGCCTCTAAAATACATGTCTGCTAGAAATGCTCTGCTGGACATCCAGATATTGGAAGACAAGTGGGGAACGGACACCATGTCAGCTTCAATTCTAATGTGTGACTACTGGCCTGCACAGCTTCTTTACCATCTGTTGCTGTGGGTGCATGCATCTTTTGCCTCACCCAGTCTTCTCTGGGACTTTCCCCTAAGGTCATTCCACCTACTTTAGTCCCTGTCTCCTGGTCTTCTCTGCCCTCATAGCTCCCTGCTAACCTGCTCCTGGGAGCCTGGGAGCTGCCTCCTGCTGGCTGTCGCTCAATCCAGATGACTGTCTGGGAAGTATACCATGTCCACCTTCTAACTGTTCAGCATGCGTAGCTGTGATTGGTTGATGCTTGCCAATCTGCTTAAACCATCCAGCAGAGTCCTTGCTGAGGCTCCCCATTCCACTTTCCAAAAACAGCCTTCCAATGATCACAAGTAGTTTATTTGGCAAAATACAGCCAAGAAGCAGCAAGCTCTGGTGCGGATTATTCATTCTGCAGGCCTACATGAGTCTATCATTAGAATGTGGAGGAGCTCCCAAACTCCCTCATGAAATGCCGAGGAGTTAACCATATGTTGATCATAGGGTATAAATGAGGCTTAGAGTGGCTACAGGAGGGCAAAAAATCCCTAATAATTTCACAATATTGCAGGCCTAAATTTAATTGTAGTGCCCCTGACTATAGAGTTACTGTTCTCCTTACCATACTCTCAGGTGGGATACTCCCAGGTCCCAGGTGGTCTCTTACTGCATTGAGGGTCCATATTCATACATCAGTCCCCAGTACATGTGACATCCATGGGTGGACTTCTAGACCTGGGATGCTGGAAATCAGAATGCTGACAAGACAGCCTCCAAGTGCAAGTCAGGTGTGCTTGGGTACTTGCCAAGTCAGCACTCCTGCAGCAAAGAGCTTGCTCTCCAGCCAGCCGTTGGAGTGACAGAGGTCTGCCAATTGACACTCTAAAGGCACACAAATGGATGATGCCTGACCTCTCAGCCTCTCCCCGGGTTCTCACCATGCCTCCAACACTTGTCAGAGACCTGCAGCTCCTGTGGAAGGACCTAGAACATGAGCTTTACTTAGACTGGCATTCACAGTGCTGATAAGTGCTCTGCCTACACGTGGCTTGTCTCTGGTTCTGGAGGTCTTTGAAGAGCTACACGACTTATAAGGTAGTCCCCTTGACTGAACATGCAGTGCAGGCTGCCTAGAACAGATGTGAACCAACATCCCCCCCACACTGCATATGTGCATTCCAGTTCAAAGAGCGATTTCACACACTAGCTGGCAATCCCTAAGCCTGCTGGGGAAACAACCAGGGATTTGATCATCCATCACCAGGCGGAGTCTGCCTTTTGAGGACCACAGCAGGGGGCGTAGGGGTGTTCCCGATCCAGGACTCAGATGGTTGTGGGAAGAGGGAGTCTCCCATCTTGGACAACAAAACAGATGGGAAGTAGGGGCTCAAAGGATCTGGGTTCAGATACTTTGGGTTCAGATCCTTCTTTGGAACCTAGTATGAGTCTGACCTTGGGAAGTTATCCAGTTTCCTTAAAGTTGTTTTACTGTTTAAAAAAAGGAGGGGGGAGGGTGTTAAGGAGAGGGTAACAAAAGATGTCTTAAAGGGCGTGGGGAGCCTTACAAGAAACGAGGCGGGTCATGCACACCACCCATTATGTGCTTGGAAGGGTATGGACAGTGACCAAGATCCGAGTGTCAGGAGTCAGACCTTCTGGGTTCAAATCCTCACTCACACAGGTTATTAGATGCCTGCCCCTAGTAACATGCTGGGGGTGGGATTTGAACCTGTGTAACTGAGTGATTTAGTTTCTCTCATACAAATGAAAATCTGATTCCTGCACCACACACAGCTAATAAACCTTTCTTCTTACATTGAGAAAGCAAAAACAACAAAAACACACCATGTTTCCATCTCAAACAATGTAGCGGTAGTGAACTGGATGAAAATGTAACAAAAAGTGGATTTTTCTTTTTAATCGTGAAGCTGTGGCCTGCATCTATGGTTTCTTGGGGGTAGAGTCAAGCTGTGATGCAAAGGGTGGGACCTGAACTGTAACGGGAAGAAATGCATGGAGGGAGAATAAACCACCCACGAGGGAGCCATTTCTTTTGTAATGTGCATTCCATTTCTTCTCCCTCATGCTTAATTTCTTCCACATTTCCTGCCACAATTATCAAATGCTTAGTTTCTGACCTCACTTTTCTAGAGACAAGAGCCCAGGGGATTCGGAATTGTTTATTTTCTGTCCGTAAACCTTTGAGTTAATGGAAGGACCCACGGGGGGGAGGGGAGCACGGCTTGGTGGTCAGTTTGTGGTGTCTCAGGAAGGTCACTGGAGTTGAAAAGAAAACAGGGAGGAGAGCTGAGACGCCTTCGCTGCACGCGCACAGCCGACAGAGAGCAGACACGGGGTCTCCGACGGCACGCCACGTTACTTCCAGGCGAAAGTGAGATTTGAAAAGGCCGCTATGTGGCCCAGATACTACCATAGAACCCCAGGGCGCTTTGCAAAGAAAGGAAGCAAACTCAGGGTATCATAGTCTCACTTTATCAAAAGCAAAGTGATTTTATCTTGCCCCTACCCACCCCGAAGAAATCCCCAACTGGGTTCCCCCACATTCCCCCCTTCCGCACCCCTTCCGAGGGGACAGACTTGGAAAAGAAGGTCCCTAACTCCTCCCGATTGGCTCTAAAGCCAGGAAAGAACTCCCGACCGCTGCCCTGGTCGCCGCCCGCGCCCCAGTGGGCCCTGCTCGTGCCCTCTGCGCCTCTTCACTCTCCCTCTCTCTTAACAGCGGTGGGCTCCAGTTCCCCGCCGGGACGACTTTCTCAGATTTGGAGATCTAAGTTTCCCTAGTAGTATTTCTGCTCCGAGAGTCCCCCAAAGCCAAGCCCAGCCTAGCCCAGCCCGGAGCGGCCCACTCCATCCCAAGTAGGGATACTCGGAGTCCCGTCCTGGGAGCTCATCCCCGGGACCCGTGTCCCTGCCCGCCGGGCGAGTGGCTCGCGCGCCCCTCGCTTCGTATCCCTCACCTACCTCGGCGTGGACCCAGGCGACGGCCACCAGCGCGAGCGCGAGCCAGCGTTTCCACATCTGTGGAAAAAGAGGACAGAGCGGGTGAGGGCGAGGGCCCCGCGCCTACCCCGGAAACTTCCCCGGGTCCGGCAGGCTCGCCCCCTCCCCGCAGTCGCCCTTCCAGGCCGCCCGCCGCGGTCTTGCCCCTGCGCCCTACGCCCTCAGCTCACCGTGGTCGGGTCCCGGAGTCCGGAGGGCGCAGGGCAGGGCGGCAGCGGTGAGCTCTAAGGAAAGGTGGGAGCCCGGACGATCACCAGCCTGAGAGGAAATCCGACCTGGGCTCGCTGCCCCTTAAGACCCCTCCTTCCCCGCCTGCCTGCCCCCCAGCTCCTCCCCATTCTCCTCCCACTTGTGCCGCGGCTGCTCCCCGTCGCCTCCCGCCCCTCGCGCCCGGAGCCCGCCCGCGCCCTGGCGCCGTCCGAACCCGGCTCCGCGCCCTTCGCACACCAGCAGTCCCCGGCCCGCAGGACGGTAGGCGGACGAGCCACGAGGGTGTCCTGGCGGGGAGAGAAGGACGCTGCAACAAAGGCGGAGTCGGGGAAGACGGGGTAGAACCGAAACCCCACTCCGGCGAGGGGCTGGCTAGCCTGCGGCAGCCGGGGCGGGAACGGGCTGCGGTAGCGGCCAGGTGGGCGGTGCTGCCGGGGGCCTGGGCCCAGACAAGAGCCTAGAAAGAGACAGGCGCACTGCGGCCTGGAGATCTTGCAAAGGAACGATTCTGGGGTGCCCAGCCCGGAGTTGGGGCAGTGGCCGCAGACCCGCCGAGGCGGAGAGGGTTGCTGCAGAGCCGAGAGCTGGAGCCGGGCGTTGGCTTGCACTTGCTGTCCTGTCCTATCCTTGTCTTGTCTCCCTTCTGCCGCTCACTCCTGCCCTGAACCCTTGATCAGGTCCCTGCCACCCGAGGTGGCCTCCTTCTTGGGGTTTACCACGTCCCCAAACTTCTTCCCAGCCTCTGCCAAAGGAAAGGTGTGCCACCTCCTCAGGGGTATGCTCACCTTCCCCCTACCCCCCTTAGATTATAGCCTCGCTCTTGCCGGGAGTCCCCAGTCACTGGGCAGTCATCAGCTTACTTTGACTTAAGTCAGGCCAGTTTTTTCATTGTCCCCTGGACATGCCATATTCTCTCTTCTTCCAAGAGTTGAGTGGCTGCGCTTTCGTGTTTCAGGGGACTTCCAGATGACCCCCATGTTCCCCATGTGAGTTCAGTATCCACTCAGAAAGCCACAGAGTCAAACTGGCTAATAGCCAGGGGGTTAGCTTTGCCCCTGGTGAAAACTGGAGCGGAGCCGGGACCACTGCTTTTAATCAGCAGGGACAATGAGCTGCTGTTCCTGTAGGCCAGACTTGGTGAGACCCACCCAGTCACAAGCAGAATTGGAAAACTCGCTGCTCTAAAACTGTTTCCTTGGAAAAGCAGAAAGCATGTGTCCCTGGACAAGCCTGTTCCCTAAACTTGGGGGAGAAGGGTCACGTATACTTGATTCTCTGGGGCTTACCTGTGAGACAACTCATCCAGATTCCTTATTACTGGGACAAGAACAGGGACTAGGTACCCCTGCCAAATACGTACACTCCACACACCCCACGTGCAAACTCCTGTACTCACACAACATACTTTTGCCTAGTCACTGAGCTGGGGTTAAAGGATGAACAAAGCTTTGCTTCTGTCCTCTGCTGGTGCTGGGCATCCTTGAACCTCATTGCGCCCCTCAGAGTCTAGCATGATTGCCTTTTCTCCTTCTCTCTGCTGGAACTGGAGTTTTTGGTATTTTCAGAACCCATGTCAAACTTCATTGCATCTCTAGCACCCCTCTGACAACAGCTTGGCAGGGGAAAAAGCAGATGGGATTTTGGGTCAAAGCAACCTGGCTCTGGATCCTGCCACTGCAGTTTGCTAGCTGAATGACTGTCGGTCAAAATACTTAAGTTCTCTGAACCTAAGTCTCAGCATCTAACAAATAAAGTGAATATGCCTCACCGAGGGTTGTGAACTTTAAATAGACACACTATGAGTGGGTACCCTGGCAGCATCTCCCTAAACGGAAGGCGTTATAATTTCTCTGATTTGCTTTACATCAAAATTGACGAGGTGGGTACTATATGCTAGATGCTATGAAAGACATCCTACATGTCTAATTTAATTAGTAACAAGTAGCAAGGCATATTTCATTAATTTCAGTAAATTTTTAAATACTTTCTGAAAATTGTAGAGATGGTTATGTAGCTTTAAAGCTTAACAGTTATTTAAAAAAATGATTTACTTGAAAGGCAGAGCCACTAAAAGACAGAAACAGAAATCTTCCGCATGCTTGCTAAAACTGAGTTCCATAAACCCCGTCTGGGTCTCCACGCCAGTGGCAGGGACCCAAGCACTTGGGCCATTCTTTGTTGCTTTTCCAGGTGCACCAGCGGAAAACTGGGTTGGAAGTAGAACCACTAGGACTTGAACTGGCAACTGAATATGGGGTATCAGGGTTCTTAGCAGTGGCTTAACTTGCTGCGTCACAATGCTGGCCTAATAATTTAGAATTGTATTATATTTTGCAATATATTACAATATTTAATACTTTTGGGTAGTTTTCCTTGATTCTTCAGCTAGATTTTAAATTGCTTAGAGCAAAAGTGTTTTCATATTTTTATCCTGCCTACCTTTGGAGCATAATTAATAGATCTAATTATAGCAAAATGAAAGGTTTGTGTTTAATCAAGTGCACCATAAGCAAATTGTAGAAACAGATGTCACTGTCAAAATTGACATGGGATTCATAACTGGTTCCTCTCTGTCCCCCCTCCCCCCCACACACTACAAATCAATAAAAGACCTGAAAGCCGGTAGAAAAATGAGTAAAGGATAGTTCCCACAAGGACACTGCATTTGGACAGCAGCTATGGGAGCCTGGCACCTACGTTTCCACTGTCAGCTTAACTAGCTGCATAGCAACAAAGGCTCCTATTATTTTCATTTTATAGGTAAGGAAACTGGGACACAGAGAATGCAAATACAGTGTTTTCCGGTAAATGCAGTTCATTCTCATACTGGCGAAGATGAACTGGCCATTGTGAAACACTGAACTATAAGTAGTGAAATCTTTCTAAATATGCTATAGCATTTAATGCCCTAGGTTTATGAGACGTATTGGTTCAAAATTGCCTTGGTTATAAACCTTAGCTTTAGTATTTATCGTGTAACTTATCTCACTGCATCTCAGTTTCTTCATCAGCAAAAATGATGATAAGATATTATAGATTCGATAGGGTTATTGTATAAATCAAATGTGTCAATATGTGAAATCCTTACAACAGTACTAGGTAGTTAGTAAGTATATAGTTAGTTGTGCTATTATGGAAATAAATCAAGAGACAAATCTTTCAGGTACTGAAGATAACACTGTACTACAGAATATGATTAATCCAGCAATAAATAAAACAAAATTGCAACAAGACAAACTGCATAAGGGAGTTTACAGTTATGTCAATGGGGAAGTTTTTGCTTGCAAAAGAGAAACCAACATAAATAAAAGACTGTGGAAGTTATTGGCCTGTATAGTGGAGACAATACAGCAAGAACTAGACTTAGGTGAACCTTCTCTGGGAGCTCAAATGAAGTCTCCAATAGTTTAATTTGTTGGTGTCTCTTTTTGAAGGTTCAGCCATCTCAATCTATACCTAGGTTCCAGAGAATGAGACCTGGGAACTCTGCTGTATGTTCAAAGCTGGCCTAAACACACAGCCTGGATGAGGGAGATGAGAGCCTCTTTCTGGAACTGATAAGAATCCTAGGATGGCTTTCATCATCATCATTATTATTGTTGTTGTTGTTGTTGTTGTTTTATGATACAGTTCCATAGGCTGTAGGATTTCCCATCCCCATCCCCAAGCACCCTCCCCCTTCATTGATTTTCCCTCTAGTGTTAAAACGTATGGTGCTTCATGAATAGTCATAATAGGATGGCCTTTTTCAAAAGCCCAAATGGGCAGCCTGCACTATGGTGGAATAGGTTAAACCTTTGTGTGCAAGGCAAACATCTTATATGGGTTCGAATCCCTGCTACTCCATGTCTGATCCAGCTCTCTGCTAATGTGACTGGGGAAAGCAGTGGAGAAAGCCCAAGTGGTTGTGTTCCTGCTACCCAAGAGGGAAATGTGGATGGAATGCCTGGATTCTGGCTTCCATGTGCCCTCCCCCCAGGCCATTGTGGCCATTTGATGAGTGAATCAATGGGAGGAAGATCTCTGTCTCTCCTTCTCTCTGTAACTCTACCTTTCCAATAAAAATAAATAGATAATTAAAATAAGTCAGAAATTCCATGTGAGTTTCTTGACATTGCCAAACTGATTACTTTGATTGGGCAGACTGGGTTAGGCTGACTGGCTTAAGACAAGAAGGCTCCTGTCTTGGAAACTTCTGGAAGAAAATTGGGCTAATATTGACAGGAGAAGCAGAGAGCAGACTCTGGGAGTAATTCTATGATGTCTGCTACAAGAGTGAACCAGCAATTTGCACAGTGTAATTAGTGCTCTGCACAGAGGGGTGCAAACCCCTGGAAGGCATGGGAAATGATTTCAGAACTTCTGTTTTTACTTATCTTCTATCTAGAAGAGGAAATAGACTTTGCAAACATGTACAATAATCTGCACCTTTATTTGGTCTGGATGTGAGACAGTCATGATGAGTTAAACTCCATTTGCCAAACACCATGAGGAGAAAGTGGGCGTTCTTCCACACAAAAGAACTGACAGCAGCGAGTTCCCTGAACAAATTGTTGATGTTCTGCAGTGTGCCCACTTGGGTGGATTTATAAGTTATGCTGTCTTTTTTTTGTGTGTGTGTGTCTGTGTTGGGGGGAGGATTGGTTTCAAAATGGATTTATTTAATTGAAGGCAGAATGACAGAGATCTGCTGTTTTACTGCCCAAATGTTTTACCCCATAACCAGGACTTGGCCAGACCAAAGCCATAATCTAGGTCTCCCACATCCAGTCTCCCACTTCTGGGTCTCCCACGTGGTTATCAGAGGAAAAGCCCTTGAGCCATATTCTGCTGCTTTCTCAGGTACATTAGCAGGGAATTACACTGTAAGTGGAGCAGCTGGGGCTCCAGTTGTGTCAATCCTCTGATGAATGGATGAAGGAAGTATAGCAGGTATGAAGAATGGAATATTAATCAGACATAAAAAAATGAAATCTCATTTGCAACAACATGGATGGAAGTGGAGGTCACTGCATTATGTGAAATGAGCAAAGTGCAGAAAGGCAAATATCGCATGACCTCACCCTTATGTGGA